GAGAGCCTTCCAGGAGCTGCTCCCTGTCTCTGGAGCAAGGGAAAAGGTGGGATTGGCTTGCAGAGCTGAGCAGTTGGAGGTTGGGATGGAGGGAGAGCAGAATTCCTCATGCAGGAGGGACAAACAGACCCTCCTTCCCAAGCACAGAGCTTGGCTTTGGCTTCAGGGACTTTTGTCCCAAATCTATCCCTCTTTTTTTTCCAAGGGGCAAACATCCCAGAGCTCCCTTGGTCGCCTCAGACAGACTGTGAAGCGGGAAGAGGCCTCTGGGTGCTAAAAATGGTGTCAGGTGGAGACACCACAAAAGGGTCTTCATTTTGGGGGCACAGCAAAGCAGGACCAGCCACTGAAGGGCTTGGAAGGGATGGTCCCAAAAGGCTGCAGAGGAGCCCAGGAACAGGCTGTCCACCAAAATCCAGTATCCTTTCAGCATTCTCCCTTCCATTATTCCTTCAGCTGCAGAAGGGAAGCTCCAGGGAGACCTTCCAGTGCCTAAAGGGGCTCCGAGAGAGCTGGAGAGGGACTTTGGACAAGGGGATGGAGTGACAGATAAAGGGGGAATGGCCTCAAGCTGAAGGAAAGAAGATTTGGATTTAGATATTAAGTAGAAATTGCTGGCTGGGAGGGTGGGCAGGCCCTGGCACAGGTTGCCCAGAGAAGCTGTGGCTGCCCCTGGATCCCTGGAAGTGTCCAAGGCCAGGCTGGGTGAGGCTCTGAGCACCCTGGAAGGTGGGGTGGAACTGGACGATCTTTCAGGTCCCTCCCAACCCAAACCCTTCCACAATTCTATAAAATCAGAAGACAAAAGTCCTTCTGTCTCATTTTCCTTCTTCCCTCCCCTCTCCTCGGAGCCAAACGAGCTCCCCCAGCCCCTGGATCACCACCCGAGTTCCTCCCCAGCACTTCTGGAGTGCAAACTCCTAATCCCACTGTGCCTGAAATGCCAGAATTCCCAGAACTGTGCCCTCCCTGCGATGCCTCTGCTCTGGCAGGCACTTTTCTGGGAAGAGGAGATGGCAGGGAAGTTCAGGGAGGCCTCGCCACTATTATTTTAGCCCAACTCCCTGGAGCATCTTTCGGGAAGGGGGATGTGCCCAAAGCCCTGTTTCACAAGATCAGCACTCAGGTCCCATCTATTGTCCCCTCCTTTGCCTGTGACATTAAAGCAGAGGGGGGAGGGGGGGTTGTGCCCCCCAAAAAGAGCAGCTTTTGTGCTGTGTGACACTTCTGAGCCCACGGGGAGTCCCAGCCCACGAAGGAGGTGGGGTTTTGGTTCAGCCAGGAGAGATTAAGGGGGCCGTAAAAGCCCGTGGAATGAGGGGCAGGGCGGTGGAAAATGCCGTGTGGAAATCGGGGATAATGGAGAGCCCTGGGTTTATCTCCCTCTTATTGTCCCTGGCATCTCTAAGGCACCGCAGGGATTCGGGGAGTTCTGCTCTATCAGGGGGGTTTAGCTTTAGGGTGGGGCTTTTTGGAGGAAGCACCACACCTCCTCCAGCCAAAAAAATATACAAAAAAAAAAAAAAAAAAAAAAAAAAAAAAAAAAAAAAAAAAAAAAAAAAAAAAGGAGGAAAGAAAAAGAGGGAAAGAACTTTCACAGCTCTTTATTTCTGGGGGGAAAAAAAAAATAAAAAAAGGGCATTTTCTTTAAGCCTGAAAAAGCCCAACCTCTTCAAAAATTGTCACCTGTGGCAGTAACATAAAGCCCAACCTGATCTGCTGATGAAAAGTCCAGGAAATAAAGGGGAAAAGTTGCACCTCCAGGTCAGGAAATAAAGAGGGAAAACTTCATCTCTAGACCAGGAAAGAAAGAGGAAAAGCTGCATGTCCAGTCCAAGAAATAAAGAGGAAAAGCTCCACCTAAAGTCCAGGAAATAAAAAGGAACAAACTCCATCTCCAGTCTAAGAAATAAAAAGGAAAAACTCCATTTCGAGTCCAGGAAATAAAGAGGAAAAGCTTCATCTCCAGTCCAAGAAATAAAGAGGGAAAAACTCCACGTCCAGGAAATAACTGGGGGGGTTGATCCTTCTTATTTTTTTGGCCACTGGAAGGGAAAACTCCCCCGTTTTTCCCAGCTCTGTCTCAGGTTTGGGTCCCCACGTATCTCCTGGTGGAAGGGGGGATGTCCCAATCCCTGGGATGAGCTGGTTGGCTCTCCAGGGGTTTAACCAGGTGATCCCAAAGCCACAGGGGATCCCAATTTCTTCCAAAGGGAGACGGGCACGGACAATTTACCCCTCCCAAGGCACAACCCAAACAACTCTTAACATTTAAAAGTGTCTTCTGAAATCAATAAGAACCGGGAATCCTTAGTTAAATCCCACTGTGGAAGGAAGAAATTAAAAAAGGGGGGGAAAAAAGACCCAAATTTTTCCTGGAGAGCCTCTGGGACAGCTGTGATTGCTCCAGATTTTATTCTTGGGAGCTATCCCGGCATTCCCAAGCAATGGATGCACCTCTGGGTGGTGGCTGAGCCCGTGCTGGGGTTTTCACTGAACGCTGGAAGCAAAACCAGCGAGGAAAAGACAGCAGGAAGAACAGAATGAAACAAATAAAATAAGGGCAGTTAAATCATCGGCGATTCCTTTCGAAAAGCTTCAGCACCGCGGATGTGATTTGGTTTTGTTATGTTTTGGTTTTTTCCCCGGCGCAATTTCTCCACCTGGTGGTGTAAAAAGCAGCTCCCGATGCTGTGATTTTAACACCCGTTTTACACCTTCTGGCCTGATTCAGGTTCCACGGCCAAGGGGAAAACACACCCACGGATTTGGGGCTGTAAATTTGCTGTAAATTTACTTCTCTCAGTGTCCGCTCCAGGCACCAGGACAGGATTTGTTGGGCAGGAGGTTTCCTTCCATTCTCTCTGATGGATTCCCTGCTTCCCACCCACACACTGCCACTCTGAGAACTCAGGAACAAGTCGATTTACCCCTCAGGTGACCCTTCCTAGAGGATAAACATATATATTTATTTATATACATATATAAATTATATAATTTTTTAACCCAGCTTTTTTTTTTTTTTAAATCAATAAAGAATTCCCCCAAACCTCTGTGATCTTATCTGTGAGGTTTTCACTGTATTTGCTCTCTGATTTGGCAGAAAGGAATCCAGAGGCATTGCAAAGGCTCCAGGAATCCCAAAGCAGTATTTTATTTTAATTTTTTTTTAATTATTATTCTTTTTATTGTTTTATTTTTATTTTTTTAGTTTATTTCCCTCCATATCCAGGCACCAGGACAGGATTTGTTGGGCAGGAGGTTTCCTTCCATCCCCTCTGATGGATTCCTTGCTTCCCACCCACACACTGCCACTCTCAGAATTCAGGAACAAGCTGATTTACCCCTCAGGTGACCCTTCCCAGAGGATAAATATATATATATTGAACAAAACATCTTTTAATCAGTAAAAAAAGCCCCCCAAGCCCCTGTGATGTGACCTGGGAGATTTTGGCAGGAAGGAATCCCGAGGGATCGCAAAGGGCAATCCCAAAGCAGTGTTTTATTTTTGATTTGTATGATTTTGGGTTTTTTTCAGTGGGAGATGGGGGGTGAGGGAAGAACTATTTTACTCTGGGATAAAGAGCTTACCAAGGGAAAAGGGTGGATTTTCCTCCGTGGAGATTTTGGGTGGGGAATGAACCTGCTCCTCTCACCGAACTGAGCCAACACCCTCGCTCTGAACATCCCAAATTGGTGTGAATTTAGGATTAAAATTCCACCTGGAAGCTGCAACTCCCACTCACCTTCAGCCTTTGGAAAATCGGGAGTGGGGTGAAATTTGGGATTAAATGCATTAATATGTTCTTTGTTTTCTTGGGATCATTTTCTGCCAGGATGGGTTGGATGGGAGAGAAGGGGAAGGAAAAGTTGGGACGAGTGAGAAATGTCTTTGCAGTGGCAAATCAACTCTCTGTCCGTGGTGAAACCAGAGGGGAGGGACAGAGAACACTTGGATTAAATCCAATTCATGGGGCCTGAGAAGGAGAAAGGACTGGAGGTAATTCCCTCCTTTCCCCACGGATAAATCCATGCCAGTGGATTACTCACAGCTGGTGTATCCAGCAGAAACACCAGGGAGAATTTTACTCATCCCAACACCTTGCAAGCTCTCCCCAATTAGCTTTTTAGCTGATTACCCAAACGCCGTTAATTTTAAGGCATAAATTGCTGAGATTTTTTTACAAAACCACACCCAGAGCATCTTCACATCCCCTTCATCCCACTGGCATCTTGTTGCTTTTCCCAAGGGGGATGATGAGCTGAGGGCAGGGACTCCCTGCAGCAGCAGCAAGTTTGTTTATCCCCCTGGAGCTTTGATTTGTGCCTTTCATCAGCAAAAGAAAAAAAAAAAAGGGGGGGGGGAAGTGGATAAATCTTCTGGAAGAGATGATTTCTCCGTGTTCCCTCCAGCGCAAAGAGGCATCTGAGAAGGAAGGAAGGAAAACTCCCTCCCAAGTGTCCAAACCACCTGTGAGAAACCACTCAGAGAACTCCCTTCTTCGGGTTTGAGCATCCAGAAATTCCCTAATCCCTCACATTACCCCCATGCAAACCCTGCTGAGGAGGTGAGGAGCGCGAGGAAATCTTGATCGGAGCCCTGAAGGTCCTCGAGGAGCACAAATCTGAGGTGAGTCTTGTCCTCCTGGCACTTCAGAGCTTCCCCTCTGTGCCTTTCCAGGTTGTTCCAAAGCCCTGCCCCTCATTGCAGGTGCAGTTTGGTTCCCATCGTTGCTCCCACGGAGCTCTGGACTTTATTTTATGAGATAAAATTCCCTTTGGTGGACCAAAAACCAGCGGCTTGGTCTTCCAAAAGGGAGGGAATCCGTATCCAATGGCACTCAACAGCTGGAGCACAGGGAATGCTCTGTCCTGTCTGCTCCCAGCTCTCCTCCCACAGCAATTTGTCCTCCCAAAAAAAGCGCCAGCCCTGCCTTCCAGCGAGGTCACTTCTTCTTTGCTGGGGCCTTGGCATTCCCAGCAGCCTTCCCATTGCTTTTGGTGCCTCCTCCTGCCTTTCCTGCTTCCCCTTCTTTCTTCCCACCACCTTCTTTCTTGTCACTTGTGTCCTTTTCCCCCTTTTCTCCTTTCCCCCCCTCTTTTCCTCCTTTTTCTTCTTTCCCCCCTTTTTCTCCTTTTCCTCCCTTTTCTTCTTTTCCTCCCTTTTCTTCTTTTCCTCCCTTTTCTTCTTTTCCTCCTTTTTCTCCCTTTTCTCCTTCTTTCTTTTTGGCCCCATCCTTCCCTTCTTTCTTCCCTTCTTTCTCCTCCTTCTCCCCATCCTTCTTCTTGTTCCCTTTGGATCCATCTTTCTTCCCCTGAGCCGCGTCCACTTTTCCAGACACAGTGGGAACTTCTTCCTTCTTTTCCTCTGTAGGCTGAGCTGTTGGAAGAAAAAAAAAAAAAGAAAACAGGAAAGGAGTTAATTTGGGTTGAAAACAGCTGGGAAAAGCTCAAAATTCCTGCTCCCTGCTTGGGACAAATCTTGGGCAACGGGAAAATATTCTGCTGGGGCTTTTTTTCCTCCTGTCTGCTCACTGATGGGCAGCTTTTCATGTCTTTGGTTCCAGAAGGTAAGGGGGTAAATAATAATCATTTCAAGGGCTGATTTGTGGATTTATTGGAGGAAATGGCTCCCCTTGGTAGGAACTGATCCATGAATGTTAAAACACAGCCCATGAACACTTCCCAGTAATGACTTGGAGTTGTCTCCTTCCACAAGGAGGAACAGAAACATCTCTTATGCAATTCAGGACAAACCTGCCTTGGATTGGGGGGTTTTGGGAGCTTTTTAAAAAATTATTTCTCTGTCTGTGGGCTGTGCCTCCTTTAATTGGATATTAAGAAGGAATTCTTTATTATAAAGGTGGGCAGGCCCTGGCACAGGTTGCCCAAAGAAGCTGTGGCTGCCCCTGGATCCCTGGAAGTGTCCAAGGCCAGGTTGGAGCAACCTGGGCTGGTGGAAGGTGTCCCTGCCCATGGCAGGGGGTGGCACTGGATTATCTTTCATGTCCCTTCCAACCCAAAGCATTCCATAATTCAGCAATTCCACGGTTTATTTTACATTTACCAGAAATATCCCTTTAATGTGGACATCAAAATGAAGTGTCACCCTCTGACCTTCTTGGGAGAAGAACAACACAGACCCTTCCTTACAATCCCAGGGGAAATCCTGGCATCTCATGATAAATAAAAAAAAAAAAAAAAAAAAAAAAAAAAAAAAAGGAACCAACCCAGCCCATTTTCTGCTTTCTGGATAAATGTGACAGAAACCAGGTGAACTCCCAAAATATCAGCTGGAGCAGCCTCAGAGTGCAATACTTGGAGATCTCCCAGGACCTGGACAGTAAATCTGCACCCAGAGCAAAGGCCAAGTCCTGCTTGTTCTTCTCCCCCCAGGCTGGGAGACAGAGCACAAACAAATCAATTTTATATCTCAATTTATCCACTCGATCCCCTAAAAACCCATTTAATTTACTCCCAATAGAAGGGCTCATCCTGTCTGGCACTCCAAAAAAAGTGCAGGAAGAGCCAGTTGGCACCTCAAATATTCCATCTTAAGAGATGTGAAGTGTTGAGGGGGGGGAAATAATGCCAAGAAAAGGGGAATATTTCAGCACTGTGATATATCCATGACTGATGACATCTGACATCACTGGCTGAGTGAGTCCTTTGGGGCCTCCCAAGTAGGAATCACATCCACTTTTATTTTCCACCTTGGATACAGGGGTGGAGTCTGGACAAGTAGTGCTGGCACACTCTTACCCCCCATCTATCTCCACAGATAAAACACTTCTGGAGAGGTGATTCCCATTCCAGGACCAGTTCCCTCAGGGCAATTTGGGGAGATTTAGACCTGCCAAGTCCAAGAGGACCAGGAATTTGGTGAGTTATTATCAAATATCAGCAGCACATTATCCATCAACCTCCTGCCCCGCACCAGGGCCAGAATTCTGGAATTCCCAAAGGGTGGCCAAGCGTTTCACTGGAAAAAAAGGTCTTTCAGGGAGGTTTTGTGGTGCAGCTGATTCCCAAGAAATCGATTTCTTGGGCTCATTTTTTTTTTTTCAGGAGCTCCTGCAGCAATAATTCACCCTGGTGTCGTTAAATCCACACCCCAAAATCCAGCCTTTGGATGGAGCACGTGGATGTGCCTGTGGGATGGAAAGGTCAACATTTCTCAGCATTCCGGGCTGAAACAGCCATTTTGCTGCCCCAAAAAACCCTTTCTGCCTCTTCTGGATGTTCTTATCCTTAATTTATTGGTTTTCCGGAAGTAATAGCAGGAAGAGGATGGGGCAGCAAACGAGGGAATTTGGATTCCTGCTCTTTACAGGCATTTTCCTTCCCAGCCTCTGAGATCTGCTGAGACCTGGTCTGCAAGGACTCAGAATTTGGGCTTTTTTGGGCAGTGAACCAAAGGATACTTTGATTTCCTGCCCCAAATGTGGGCATTTTCCACGTGGGATTGCTCAGACAGGTTAAGACTGAACCAACCACACCTCTGGGTGACCTTGGACTTTAAAGCAGGTTAAATTCAAGTGGCCAGTTGGGTTCTGCTCCAGAGAGGGGTCTGACTGTCCTCAGTTCATGGTCAGATGTCAGGACACCTCCGAAATCCTGAGCTTTGGGTGAGTTCCTACAGGTAAACCCTTTTAGTTGTGCATTTTGCTGGTGTAGGACTAAACTGCTGCAGTGATTTGATTTCATCTGCCTCTTCCCACGATTCGTGGACTGAAACATCCCATTTTTGAACGAAGGAAACTCGCAGTTTTTAGGAAGCAACAGGTCACAGAGTTTGCAGAGACACAGGAAAGAGAGGGAAACAAAGGTCCTAAAACCGGAGAAAACAGAGGCCAAACGCAGAAAGGAGAAGCAGAGAGTCCAAGGGCTGGTGGATCCCAGCGGGAAAGAGAAGCCACAGACAGACAGGCAGGAAGGCAGATTCCCTAATTTCCTTGCAGGGCCATTTCATCCTCTTCTTTCAGCACAGGCAGGGAGTTGAGAGGTCTGGGCTGGACATGACCAGAGAGAGCAAGGAGAGTTTCAGTAGAGCCTGTGGCACAGAACCAGGAGAGGAGAGTGAGAGAGCAACAGAGAGCACAAACAGCAACACTCCTGCTCAGCCCAGCAGGGTTAAAACCACCCGTGGGGAACGTGGGACTCCAACAACTCCTTCCTTTTTTTTTTTCTTTTTTTTTTTTTTTTCCCCCTACTGACACCCCCTAAAACCCAAGGGCTGGCCCTTAAAATTAATCAGCCCCCCCTGGAAAATCGAAAGATGGAATTCCTTGTTGCACTCTACTGAAAGGAGGGAGGAGGGAGGAGGTTGGGCTCTTCTCCCGGGAAAACAACAAGTAGGACAAAGGGAAATGGCCTCGAGTTGCACCAGGGGAGGTTCAGGTTGGATATTGGGGAAAAAATTCTTCACTTGGAGAGGGGTTAAACGTTGGAACAGGCTGCCAGGGGAGGTGGTGGAGTTCCCATCCCTGGAAGTGTTCAGAAAACAGGTGGCTGTGGCACTTCAAACTCCGGGTTAAAGGTGGGGTTCGGCCAAAAGTTGGGCTTGATGATCTTGGAGGTCTTTTCCAAGATTTTTCCGCTTTCCAAGGAGTTGGACCAACGGAGAGAGGCCTTTTTATCTGAATGTCTGTGCGTGCTGCCCCAAATGCAGCAGGTTTGGGTTAACCTTAACGCCGGGAGGGGGTTTAAAGGTGGCACCCGAGGTCCCCCACAGCGACCCCCACCACGGGAGGACCTTCTCAGGAACGAACCCCGGAGCAGGAGGAGGGTGTGGGGGTGGGCGTGGGCAGGGCAGGTACCTCCAGGGATCTCTGTGAGCTCGTTGAGGGGCGGCACGGTGTCCAGCTTGTCGGCGTAGTTCTTGGCCGCCTGGCGCTGGGCGTAACGCGCCTCGATCTCCTTCCTGGTGCGAGGGATGCGGCACTTGAAGATGCAGCACAGGGTGATGACTGCGAAGGGAGAACGGGGAAAGGAGCCTGTGGGTTAGGCAAGGGCGCTCCTCTGACGCTCTCTGAGGCTTTCTTTGGCCCAAAGCCCTCGATTAGGGACGGCGTGGGCACCAAAATCATCCCCAGAGCACCCCCATTGAACTGCAAAGGGGTCCCAGCCTCATCCTCCCACCTCGGGATGATTTGGGGCGTTAGCTCAGCTCTTACACCCGCTCCCAAAACTGCCCCTTCATCTTCACCCCATCCCCTGACCCGCTGTAAGACTCCAGTCCTGGGAGCTGCTGGCCCGGGGGCTCAGCCAGGAGTTGAATATCTAGAGTTTATATATATATTTAGATATATATATACTTATGAGTTTAATATCTAGAGAGAGAGTTTATATATATATATATATATATATAGGAGTTTAATAGCTAGAGAGTTTATATAGAGAGGAGTTTAATATCCAGATAGAATTTATAGATGTACATATATATGAATTTAATATCTAGATAGAGAGTTTATATAGAGAGAGAGGAGTTTAATATCAAGAGAGAGAGAGTTTATACATATAGGACTTTAATATCTAGAGTTTACATATACATATAGGGGTTTAATATCTAGAGAATTTATATATATATAGGGGTTTAATATCTAGATAGAGAATTAATACATATATAGGAGTTTAATATCTAGATAGAGCTTATTTGTATATATATAGGAGTTTAATATCTAGATAAAGAGTTTATATATATATATATATCTAGGAGTTTAATATGTAGAGTTTATATATATATATGAGTTTAATATCTAGAGAGAGAGTTTATAGGTATACATATATAGGAGTTTAATATCTAGATGTAGAGTTTGTATACATATATAGGAGTTTAATAACTAGATATAGAGTTTCTATTGATAGGAGTTTCATATCTAGATAGAGAGTTTATATATATATATATATAAGGAGTTTCATATCTAGAGAGTTTTTATATATATATATATAGGAGTTTAATATCCAGATGGAGAGTTTATATATACATATAGGAATTTAATATCTAGACATAGAGTTTATATTTTTTAATATATATATGTGAGTTTAATATCTAGATATGGGGCTCCTGATGCCATCAGAGAATAAGCCATGGGATTGTGGTCAAGGGATTTCCTAATTAATTGAGGGGAGCAAATAAGGGGACTTGGGCCAAAACCTCGGGTTTGCAGTGGAGGTGCTGGGAAAGGGAAGAACCCATATGGAATTATGGAATTATGGAATTATGGCAGGGATGGTGTTTAAGGTCCCTTCCCACCCAACCATTCCATGATTCCATGAAGGTGTATCAAGCCCTAAATAACTGCACAGAAACTCCATGAAAACATCGAGGTTTAAAATATTTATATTTTCATGTAAATATATATTTATATTATATACATATTTATATATTTATATTTTTATATATTTATACTCCAGATGCTGTTTAATCTAAATATAGTTTATATAAACTATAATATAAATATATATTCATATATTATATATATTATATAATATAAAATTACATATGTAATATAATATTATAGAAAAATATTATATAGAAGAAAGTAGATATAAAAATAATATAATTAAATAAATATAAATTAAAAATATATAAAATATAATATAGTTTGTAAAATAATTATTATATTTTACTAAAAAACACTCCTGGTTTCCCCTCTGTCAAACCACAGAAAGCAGCAGAAGAAACATCCTGAGAGACAAACTGTAATGGAGAAATGTTCCATTTTCTTAATTTTCTCAGCTTTTCTACATTAATAATCCACGAGTTTATCCCAATCAGCATGAACTGCACAATTAAAACACACTTTTTTTTTTCCCCTTTCTTTTAACACCACCTGTAGATTTTTTGGCTGTTTGTCTTCCACAAATCACTTTTTTCACCTTTTTTTTTTTTTTTTCCCCCTCCTCCCCTTTTCGGTGCCACAAAACACAGGGTGTAAAATTCAGGCCCCTCCTTCCAAAGGAACATTTCTGGTTTAAATTAACCAGTCAGGGCTGGTCCTGCACGGGACGTTCTCTTTCCACACTTGAAATTTGGAGCTGACAAGGGATCAAATCGTTGCTCCTCTGCCAGGCTGAGCCTGGGAAATGTCATTTTCTGGGAGGGAAAACAGATTACTTGGTGCTGCTTTCTTAAAAGAGTCGATTTTTTGCTCTCTGTGATGATAAAAGAGTTATTTATATTTACATATTTTATATATATTTCTATGTTATTTCTATATATTTATATATATATTTATATGTATATGAAAATATATATTTTTGTGCTTCAATATATATTAAATATATTTTCCTTGAGTTGGAAAATAAGGAAGAGGCTCGTTCCTTTCTGGATTTTAGCCCATTTTCGTTATTTTCACACTTTTCACTATTTTATATCTCCCTAATAATCAAATCCAATATTACTCAGGCTGGAGGAGCTGAGAAATAATAACTCCCCAAAAAATAATTCTACCAGCAGCAGAGCAAATGTTAAACTTGATTTTCCCCCGCAAAGATCAAGATGTTTGGGATGAAATCAGGGCTTTGCCTTTGCTCCCACTGGGAGAAACTAAAATATTTGGCTTCCTAATTGAGGTGAATTAAAAGCACACACTCGAAAATCAACGAAAAGAGGTGGGTGGGATGTAAATCAAACATCCACCTGACCCCCTTCTCCTGCTCAAAACTCACTCCAGGGAATTCACCTCAGCAGCAGCAACACGGGGCATTTTTAAACCTGGGAAAACCAGGAAAGGAACAACTGGGAGGTGGGAGAGATGAGCTCGGTGCAGCATTCCAGGACTCGGCATTCCCAGAAATTCGAGGGAAATTGGCTGCAACCCCCAGCAGGTTTGTCCCTCTCTGACAGCTGCAGCAAACCCAGGCTGCCAAAGAAGATTTTAATGAACATTTAGCAAAGGAAGCCCGAGCTGCTGGGAGTTAATTAGCAATAATAATGCAATTAATGCTGATTTATTCCCCGGGTTTAGGGCAGCCCCTGTTTAAAGGCTTTGGGAGAAGCAAAGCCTGGAGAGTTGGTGCTCGAGGAACTGGTTGAGAGGGCATGGAATGACAGGACAAGGGGGAATGGTTTGAACTGACATGGAATAGGTGGGATATTGGGAAGGAATTCCTGGCTGGGAGGGTGGGGAGGGGCTGGAATGGATTTCCCAGAGAAGCTGTGGCTGCTCCTGGATCCCTGGAAGTGTCCAAGGCCAGCCTGGAGCAACCTGGGATAAGTGGAAGGTGTCCCTGCTTGGAGCTGGATGACCCTTAAGGTCTCTCTCAACCCAAACCATTCCATGACTCATTGAGATTCCTTCTATTTTTTATTTTTTAAAGTTATATTAAAAAAAAATGTTGTCTTTTTGAACACAGGCTTCAAATTTGTGTCAGTGAAGCCTCCAGGGTTTCCTGGGCCGTATTCCAAGGCAACATTTCCCCTCCCAATGAAATGCCATCAGCAAAGGCATCCCAGGAAAACTGGCCCTGCCACGGCCCTCGTGTGGAGCTGCTGCTGCCCCAGGGATGAGCAGCTGGAAGATGGGATGGGATGGGATGGGATGGGATGGGATGGGATGAGCAGCTGGAAGTTGGGATGGGGTGGGATGGGATGGGATGAACAGCTGGAAGTTGTCCCTCAGCCTCCATCTCACGGCATCTTCTGCCAACTCAGCTTCAAGGGGAGAGGCTTTGAACGTGCAGATCAAACAGGAGCCAGGAATTGGGAAGGAAAAGCTGCATTTTCTGCCCCCAGCCCCACCTGGGATAGTGGGAGGTGTCCCTGCCTTTGTCCCTTTTGAGATGCATTCTCAGAATCCTCCTCAATCCTGTTTTTTTATCCCATTCTATTGCTCCTCTTCCCGTGAAAAGCTAATCCTTGGATTAATGTTCTCATTTCCTAGAAAGAAATAAACCCCAGGAGCCAAGGAACAGAGAGACTGCAATCCCAGTATTTGTGCCAACCCCAGTTCAAGCCAAACATGTTTTTAGGTTTCTCCACCTCTGGAAAAGGCCCTGAGGACACCCTGGAATAACTCCTGGCAGGGGTCAGGGCTGCTCCAGGGTTTGCTCAGCAGCTCCACAAGTTGAATTTCTTCCTGAGGGAGAATTCCTCGTGCTCCTGGATTGAACCCCCCCCTTTCTGCAGGGAGAGGGGATCAGGGTGTGGAATCACAACTCTCCTTGGGATCCACCTGCTTCTCGTTCCCAGGCTCTGCCCTTGCCTTTCCCCACTAAACTAAAAATATCCTTTATATTTTTCCCCCCCTTTTCTTTCTCAATTCCTTCAATCCAGTGACTTTTTGATCTTCTTCCCCAACGAGCTGAACCGAGTGGGTTCAGTGAGAGTCTGGAAGATCTTTCCTTTCTCCAAGCACTGAGCACAGGGGAGCAATTCATTTATTTTTATTTTTTGGCCTTATTTTTCCCCTCCAAACCTTTTGTTTTCCAGGGATTTGTTTCCAGACAAATTCCTCCTTAGGGAATCTCTGGGCTAGGAAATGTTTTAAAGCAGCAAACCTGGAGCATCCAGGCAAATCCAGGGCACTTGAGGCCACAGGTCAGCTCTCCTATTTCTGTGGGATTAATAAATTAATAAATTAAGTAAAGCATTAATATCTTTTTTTTTTTTTTTTATCTAAAGCAAACCCTAATTATCCCACTTATTCTTTCATCTGGCCATTCCAGATGTCTCCCCTGAAGGCCTCTCAGGGCAGGTCGAGAGGAATCATGGCAGAAAAAAAAATCCATATTGGATGTTTGATCCGGCAATTGGAGCTAATAATTAACCCAGAATTAATTAAAGCAAAGAATTTATTAATTAATTTAAAAAGCTCCTGATGGATTATACTTTCTGTCTCCTTCTGGGGGTCTCTTATGCAAGAAGTTCCTAGGCTGGAGCTCTCCCAACCTTTTATCCCCAACTAAAAGCTCGGAGCAGGACTGGGAGGCATTTTTGAGGCCAAAAAAATGGGATTTTTAGGGAATAAATCCCCGTTTTGGGGTGGAATCCAATGTTTCTACGGGGAATTTTGGGGATATTTGGGGATTTGGGTGGGTTTGGAGGTATTTTGGGGGATTTGGGGGGAATTTGATGGGGCTTTGGGCGGATTTGGAGGCATTTTGGGGGGATTTTGGTGACTTTTCATGGGCTTTGAGGCTGTTTTGATGGGATTTTCAGGGATCTGAATGGATTTTGAGGGAATTTTGGAATATTTGGGGTATTCTGGTGGGATTTGGGGGAGTTTGGGAGGATATTGGGATGATTTTTGGGTGTGTTTCCCATGTGTTTCGGCTGGATTTGATGGAATTTGGGATTTTTTTTGGAGGTGGGTTTGCAAGTTTGGGAATACTGGAGGGACTTGGGAAAATTCTGGGATACTTTGGGAGATCTGGGGGTATTTTAGATGCATTTTACGCGTATTTGGGGATATTTTGGTGAAATCATTGGCTATTTTAGGAGGACATGGGGCTATTTGGCTGGAATTTGGGGATTTTAGTGGGGAATTTTGAACACTGTGGGATACGGGGCTGTTTTGGTGGAATCTGGGGGTTTTTTTTGGGAATTTTTGAACAGCTTCCCACCCGTAATTAATTGCTAGAAAAAGATGCTGGTCCCTACATTCATTTACACCAGCTGAGAAACAGGAATATGGGCTCTTGTTTTCCCTGCCCTGGGAATCTCCAGAATCTCTGTTGCTTGGTGTTAACGGGATATTTTAGGATATTTTAGGCTTTTTACGGGAATGGAAAAGAATTTGGGATTGCAGATGGTTTTCCTGCCTTTTTCTGATGTGCTGGTGCCACCTGGTGGAAGGCGCTGAGGGCAAGAGTTGGAAACCTCACTTATACAGAAGATTTATTTCTATTTTTATATATTTATCTTCTATAAATCTTCGGTGTAACGCACCCATTTTGTTAGCTGGAAATTATTATTTATTAACTTTTATATCTAAACGACATTTTAAGGCCCACAAGAATGTTTATGGTACCATAACAGCTTTCTATTATTCCAATTTATATCTAAATTTACTATTGAAGTTTTAGAAATCTTTATTGTTTATCCATGTTTTATTTATGGTTTATTTTATTGTGTTTTTTTTCTTTGTATTTATAGATTTATTTTATTTACTTTTTGGTGATTTTCTTTTGCTTTTCATTTAAAAGATTTATTCATGAATATCCTGAATAGATTTATTCTATTCAATTTTTATTTTTAGTGAGTGTTTTGTTTTTTATTTATCTATTTAGTTTATCTTTTTTTTTTGTGAGTTTTGTTACTTTTTATTTATATACTTCATTTATTTTTTATTTTTAGTGATTTTCTTTTGCTTTTTATTTATAGATTTCTTTTTATTTTTAGTGGTTTTTTTTTACTTTTAATTTAGATATTTATTTAATTATTTTTTTATTTTTAGTGGGTTTTTTTATTTGTATATTTTTTATTTTTGGTGCTTTTTTACTTCTTCCATTAATATATTTATTTTTAGTGATTTTTTTCTTTTTTCACTTTTTTATTTTTAGTGGGGTTTTTTACTTTCTATGTAAAAGCTTTTTAATTTATTTTCTATTTTTAGTGTTTTTTTGCTTTTCACTTCTAGATTTGTTTGATTTTTTATTTTATTGTTTTTCCTTCTCGTTTATAGATTTATTTTCAGTGACTTTTTACTATTTTTCGTTTATATATTTATTTTTACTGATTTTTTTGCCCTTTTCATATATTTACTTTATTCATGTTTCATCTTCAGCATTTTTCTTTTCATTTATCAATTTATTTTACTTCTATTGAATTTTTAGCCATTTCCCCCCTTTTATTTCCACATTTATTATCCAGATTATCCTTATATTGATTTTATTTCTCTATTTATTAGCCCATCCCACGGGATCAGTGGAGATTTTGGGAAGCACCATCCTGGTGCTTGGATGCACCTTGGATGATAGAGGATTAATTGCTAATTAATTTAATTGTGATTAATTCGTTGCTGTTGTCCCCAGATTCCCCCTGTGTTGGCAGCAAAGCCCTAAACTGACTTTATTTCACGTTGAGATGCACTAAATCTATTTATCATCGAGTTTCAGCCCAACAAAACCCTTCCAAATCTCCTACAAACGCTTCCCACCTCCTCCTCCAATAATAAATATATTTTAGGACTCTGATAACGCCCTGATTTTGTTGAACTCCCTGTGTATTAGTGGGAACTCAACCCTTAAAATAAATATTAATTTATTAAATCCCACAAAACTATTTGTTTCCTTGTCCAAACACAGAACCCAAAAGCTATTTTAGTTCCCAATTTGCTGCTTTCAGAATTTTAAATAATCAGGCTGTAACTTTCTCTGTATGGTATTTCCAATACATTTAATTTTCGGAGTCGGGGGTTGGAACTTTGATTTTTGTGGGTTCCTTCCCACTCGGGATATTTTGTGATTTTTAGGAATCAATTTTTATGAGCGTTGGCTGCGATTTTAGGAATCGATTTTTTCGGGGGTCTTTGCTTCTACGCAGGAATGAGTTTCCAAACAGGGAAAGGAGGAGGTTCAAAGGAATTCTGGAGGAGTTTGGGAAGAAAATAATTAGCTACACACTTTGGAAAGGTCAAAAAAAAATGGCAAAGAAATGGATTTATTATGTTTGTCTCGTATCAGACTGATGGAGTTTTTGCTGTGTGAAGTTTAGCTGGTTCAAGGAGAGAGCAGAAGGTCCTTCCTCAGGATTTTGGTGGGGTCATGAGGTGGCCTGAGGGATATTCCTGTAAGGAAATTCATGAGAGGGGGTTGCAAGGCACAGAGAACCTGGTTTAGACTCTTCCCAGAGAGGGAAGCCCAAAAAAAGGAGGTTTAAAAGCCCTAAAAAACCCCAGGTTTAGAAATCCTGAAAGCCCTAAAAAAGGAGGTTTAAAAGCCCTGAAAAAGGAGGTTTAATAGTCCAGGAAGCCCTAAAAAAGCAGGTCTAAAAATCCTGAAAGCCCTAAAAAAACAAAAAAAGCAGGTTTAAAAGTCCTGAAAGCCTCAAAAAGGGAGGTTTGAAAGCCCTAAAAAAGGGGAAGTTTGAAAGCCCTAAAAAAAAAGGAGGTTTAATAGTCCAGGAATCCCTAAAAAAAGCAGGTCTCAAAGTCCTGAAAGCCCTAAAAAAGGAGGCTTAGAAGTCCTGAAAGCCCAAAAAGGGAGGTTTGAAAGCCCTAAAAAAGGAGGTTTAAAAGCCCTGAAAAGGGAAGTTTAAAAGCCCTAAAAAAGGAGGTTTAATGGTCCCAGAAACCTTTTAAAAAGCAGGTTTAGAAGCCCTGAAAGCCCTAAAAAGAGGAAGTCTGAAGTCCTTGGTACCCAGAACCTGCTCCTGGAAGGTGTCCCTGCTCCTGGAAGTGGCACGGAACTAAAAGCCCTTCGAGTTCAAACCATTCCATGATTCCCCGAGGAACAGGATGGAGGTGGAAGGGATGGTAACTGGGATGTGGCTGGGACTTGGGGCAGCCCCACAGGAGGGCACAGATGGGCACAGGGCAGGCTTTGGGCCGGATCCAACGTGGATTTGGACACGGGATGTCCGTTCCCGCGGGATGTCTTCTCCTGTGGGATGCCACCGGTTGGTCCCCGCTGGTGGTTCCCTCCAAACCCACCCCCTGCCTCTCCCGCTCCACAACCCCCTCACGGACATCCCTGGGGGCCCTCCAGGAGCAAATCCTCTTTTTTTTTTTTTGGGAGGGGGGGTGTTGGGATCGAGGACTTACTGACTGATAGGACGAAGAGGGCAAAGATGCCGACCACCTGCCAGAGCCTGAGCCCCCAGATGACCACGGTCTCCGAAGTCACGGGGTCCGGCTTCTTCTTGGGGGGTTCCGTGGTGGCCTGGGGGGAGAGAGGGGGACAGAAGGGACACGGCCCTGGCTCTGGGGTGGTGGCTCCCCAAGAGTCCCTGAGGACCAGGAGAGGGTTGTGGGCAGAGATTTGTTTGGGTTTGAAATTTTTATTGGTGGTTTTCGGGGTCACCAAGTAGGTGTTTCTGGTGTTCTTGAGGTCCCTGGTTTTTTCTAAAGAGCTCATTTCTTTGGCTCAGGAGGGAATTTCTTGTATTTTTTTTGTCTTT